AAATAATTTATAAAGTATAATTCAATTTTGTTCTTTCAAAATCTTTATTAAACAACACCTTTTTAAAATACAATTAACATATTTTAATCACTTTTATCTTCTCTACTAAGGCTGTGTTTCATTTTCTTAAATATCCTTTCTTTCTTTCCACCTTCACGGTCCTTGGCACCCGAAAACCAACGGCTTAGTTGGCTTGAAATATCCTTTAGTTTTAAATTAGGGTCTTTGGTAGTAATGGTTTCTGAAATTAAAAATAAATAACACTTAAAAAAATAAAATACAAAATATGAACAATATTATATACCTAATAAGTATTTGTATGATTGTGTCCCAGAAAAGTTCAGTTTCTTGCTTCCATAAGTTTCCCTCCCAAAAGCACTATATAATAATTGTACTTCCTTCGAAATTATTCTCGGAATAACCGCTTTTAAACTTTCAGATAATTTATCTCCACTTTTAATGGTAATCAACATAAAACATTTCTAAAAAATAAAAAATAGATTTACAAATCAAATAAAACTGTGCAGTTTCAGTAGTAATTCTACCAGCTTTTTTATCAACTCCAAGTTATTTTTTAATTCATTATCGAACTGTTGGAAATCTTCTAAGTTTAATTTGGGCATGTCATCTAAGTTTTCTTCTTGCATGATTTTGTTAATATCTCCTATATTATTGTGGGATGCAAATAAGTGCCTTGTTTGTTTGGCCTCTTCTGTGATTTTATATTCTAAGCTTCTTTTGACTGATTCTAAATTTGCTTTTGAAACATAAGTTTCTGAAGGTGGCATACCTAATTTAAAAAAAAATACATTATGTGAAATTGGTAAGTAGCATAACAAATAATTTTTTTTTGTAGATAATCACTAAAAAGTATACTTATAAAGTAATATATTATAATGAGCTTGGTATTGTAAAAATTTGAAGAGATACAAAAGTGAAAAAATAATGAGCATACATGCAATGATACTTAATCGTATTGATTAAAATATAATTAGAAGTAGTATGCTAAAATAGTTTTAAAAAATATGAGGTACTTTGTCCTAATTCAAGCACTGTATGTACAATCTTGCTAATTTTTCTTAAAACTATTTAAGCATGATAGAATTTAAAAATACATGTAACAGTTAATTGTATACTTTTTAGGAAAGTCTTAGAATAGCCATAGTTGAAACTAAGAATATTTAATATCTCTTTTATAAGAATGCCTTAAGAACTTGACTGAAAATATACCTGTTGCACATGTACAACCACATGTTGGGCACTGTTTCTTCTTTTCAATGTTTAAAGCTACATTTTTAAAAACATTATAAACAAAATTATAATTATAACTGTAAGAAAATGATATAAGGTGATAGTTTTGTTATGTTGAAACATTTTATAAGTTAAAAATCTTACATTTATTATGATTTGGTTTGGTAATTGGCATAGATTTTTTTTTGGTTGTAGACTTTTGAGATGATTGAGCAAGATTGAACTGTATCTTACCATCATTATCTGTTAGATAGACATAAATTCAGAAATATTGATATCCAAAGAAATTGCACATATTCAAAAGATTTGCCCATAGTTAAAATAAATTACCGTTTATATCACTCTCCAGTACAGCTATGGCATCATCATTTTTACAAGAAAAAGCAATGCTTCTCAAGGACTTGTTCTTAGGTTTTTTTTGCTTGTAAGTCATTAAAAATGAATCGGATGATGTTGAAATCTCAGACTGCACATCATCATCATCTATTTTAAATATAATTATTCAAGTATAAATTCATTAGGTTGTTATATTATAAATAAAATTAATTACCATTTATATCACTGTTCTCTACAACTATGGCATCGTCATTTTTACTAGAAAAAGCAATGCTTTTCAAGGACTTTTTCTTAGGTTTTTTTTGCTTGGAAGTCATTGAAAATGAATCAGATGATGTTGA